TATACTGTTTGAGTTGCAATAAATGTGTAATTAAGTGAGAAATAGCAAATTCGAGTTTTGCACGATTTTATTTTTTCTTATGTACATTAGACTGCATCACCAAAAAAAAGTTGCAGTTTTTCCGCTGGGATTACAAAATTTATTATATTTTAAGACGTTCACCAAAATATTTGGGAAAAATATTAAGATTTAAATGAGCTGGACCGATTTGAAAATACCTCCAAAAATGGAGTTTTTTATGAATAAAAATAGTTTCGCAAAGAACTTTTTGAAAAAAGTCCCCTCAGATGACAAAACAGATTAAACTTAAAAAATCTGCATAAAATTATTTAAAAATCTTTTCAACGGAATCGTAAGAATGAGATTTTTGATGCTGTTTTTTACTTTTTTCAAAGATTGATTTACGCAAAACTTGAACAACTGGGCCAAAACTATTCTGATTTAGACTTATGGGATCTCAGTAGGAAGGTATTTTCACACTGTTTTTATTTCTGTCAAAAAAAAAAATCATTCGTGTCCCATTTTTTTTTATCAATACCAACACATCTTAATTCATCTTTGAATGACGTTCGTTCATCCTACCTTTCTCTTTCATCCTTTGAATGAGTTTATTAGCAAAGAAATAAAAACGGTGAGAAAATACCTTTCCACCGATACCTCTTAAGTCTAAATCAGAAGAGTATAGGCTCAGTTATTCAAGTCTTTCTTATACCAATCTTTGAAAAAAGATAAAAAACAGCATCAAAAATCTCATAACGATTTCGTTAATTTTTTTTTTTAATTTTTTTTTAATATTTTTATGCAAATTTTTTAAGATTAAACTGTTTTGTCATTTGAGGGGATTTTTTCAAAAAAAAATTTGTAAGAAACTATTTTTATTCATAAAATACTCTATTTTTGGAGGTATTTTGAAATTGGTCCAGCTCACTTAAATCTTAATATTTTTTCGAAATATTTTGGTGGACGTCTTAAAATATAATAGATTTTATAGTTCCAATGGAAAAATTGTACCGATTTTTTTTGTATGGGGAGTGATGATTAATGTACATACATATGTATATATGTATGTGATTATGTGCATATGTACATACCCTGCAAAAAATTGTGCGACTAATCTCTAAAGCGAGTATTCCGAGATTACTCTCAATCGGGTACAGTTTAGTCCCAACCAGTCTCATACGGGTACTATTGGAGGTCAATTAGTCTCGACTCATCCCTTAAGGGTGTAATTGGAGATCAATTAGTCCCCATCTCAGCTCTAACGAGTACTATTAACGATTTAATGATATGTACGCACTTAGTCAATGAAATTTCATGTGCGGCGTTGGCACACAGAGAGAGTATTCGCCTAACAAAACTGAGCACCCCGGTTCGAATCTCAGCTGGTGCAAATTTTTATTTTTATTTTTTAAAAGTGACTAGTCGCTTTTCATACCCGTTCGGGTATAAAGGTGAACAATTAGTCTCTTCATAGGGCATGCTCGAACAAAAGCGATCAGTTCATTCCAAAAAGATCAAAAGTGGTATTAGTTGCATGCTCCTTTCCCTGCAAAAAATTGTGCGACTAAACTCTAAAGAGAGTATTCCGAGATTACTCTCAATCGGGTACAACTGGGCATTAATTAGTCGAAACTAGTCTCATACGGGTACTAATGGAGGTCAATTAGTCTCGACACATCCCTTATGGGTATAATTGGAGATCCATTAGTCCCCAACTCATCTCTAACGGGTACTATTAACGATTTAATGATATGTACGCACTTAGTCAATGAAATTTCATGTGCGGCGTTGGCACATAGAGAGAGTATTCGCCTAACAAAACTGAGCACCCCAGTTCGAATCTCAGCTGGCACAAATTTTTATTTTTATTTTTTGAAAGTGACTAATCGCTTTTTATACCCATTCGGGTATAAAGGTGAACAATTAGTCTCTTCATAGGACATGCTCGAACAAAAGCGAACAGTTCATTCCATATAAAGAGATCAAAAGTGGTATTAGTCGCATGCTCCTTTGCGATTGCTCCCGGAGTCATCCCGGATTAGTCCAATTTTTTGCAGGGTTGCGATTGCTCCCGGAGTCATCCCGGATTAGTCCCATTTTTTGCAGGGTATAATCGCATGTACGGTTCACACTAAGTATGTGTGTCGTTTACGTGAAAGCGGGTAGGTGAACTTTTGCCGAAATCTACCGTCGACAAGCGGTATTGCAAAAAACTTTGTCGTTCGCCGTTAAATTTTTTCTCGACTATTGAGTCTATTTTCCCGCCAAATTTGTTATAAAATATTTATAGATATGTATGTAGCCGTAATATAGAGAAATTAAGATAAATATCTTTACTTACGGCTTTTGTGGATACTTATGTAGGGTTTAGGTGGCTGGTTTCTGATTCTCGGAGAGGACCATTTACAGCCTTCTGTGCTGTAGCTTTGGGGGTTACGCTTGGGGGAAGCGCCGGTGGCTGGAGATTCTAGCAGTATGGCTGGTCGGATGGAGGCGGCTAATGAACTCGCAGGCTGTTGGTGGATGCGTTGGTGGCTGGACGATCGGTGGACTGGCAGGCGGCTGGTGGATTTTCGGTCGAGGAGGCAACTGGATGATCGGTGGGTGGTTGCGAGCAGGCGGTAGACTCGGCTGTATGGCAGAGTGCTTCAGCTCGGTGTTGAAAGCGACATGTCGCGCTGGGCGGTTGACCGACTGGCGGCGAGGAATTCGGCGGGGTTCTAGGTCGCACTCGCGAAAGTATTTTACCGAAAGTGTGTCGATGAGACTATTAGGGCACGCACCAGATTTGGTGATAACTACGATTTGCTTCTTGCAAAGGATAACACGCCAAAAGTTCAATTTAGATAAAGTACAATTTATTTAGCGGATTTAAAATTCACGAGCAGTTTGGAAACTTTGCGAATGATATGTATATATATATGGCACAGTCGGTGAAGCGCAAAAACGAGCAGAAACCGGTGAGATCACGGAAAAAAGATTGATTGAACCGAAAACTTATGGTGTTTCGTTGAAAGATGTATACACGTATACATACAGCGCTGAGTCTGTAAACTTATGTCAAAGTGCTGAATTGTGCTGACACCGACGTTGCCATAGGATGCTAATTAACATTTCATATTTCATTTACGATATTTCATACAAATGAATAATAAAGGGAATTTCAATTTAAAATAGTTTGGTTATACAAAGTTAAAGGTTTTTTATNATTTAAAATAGTTTTGTTATACAAAGTTAAAGGTTTTTTATGAGTTAAGCATTTTACAAAGCTAAGAGCTAGATACAGCGAACTCGCTTGGACAGAAATTGTTTAACTTGTCAGCGATTTCAGTACTCTTTCTATATATTTTTGATGTTTTCTTTGTGATCTGTATTATAGAAAATACTCTTCAAATGTTTCCACATTAAACGACTATCACCTCCATTAATTCCCACCTTGTATTCCATATATTGAATTTTTTTAATTTTAATCATTTTATAATCCGCTTTCTTTATTTCATTGTATTCTACCCAATCACCAGTGATCACTGCCCTTTGGTATAACTTAAATTTTTCTTTATTCGTTTCATTCAATTGTCTGTCATAACATTTATTTCTGATTTGACACGCTTTTGTACACTAGAAGTTAGTTGATTCATACACGAAATCAAACAATGGTTAATATGTTCCAGCATACCATCAGGACTGAGACTATTCAGGTCAGCGTAGGTGCATTGTCTCAAAAGATTTACGAGATTGTCTGGGCTGTACCCATCCCACGAAACTATTTCCGACAGTTTATTGATAGGGCCTTGTTTTTTTATATCACATTTGAACATTATAGTTTCATGATCCGATATTCTATGTCACTTCGCTACGTCGATCAGTGTTTCGGAATATTCAGTAACCCTAGTATTAAAGTTAATTAACTGTTTCATTACCTGATGGGCGAATATCTCATTCAGTTTCTTACTATATGTCGACATTATATTCAGGTTTATATTAAAATATCCGATAATAATGGTATTTACCATGTTATCGCAAATCTCCGACAAAATGGTCTCCATATACATATGTTGGAAAATCAGCAGCACTTGAACTAGGTGAGTGATACCCCACCCCGATTTTCCATTTGGTTTCGAGATTTTTCAGTTGGATTACAAACCAAACATTTTTATCGATAGATTTGTTTAGTACTTTTTTAAAATCTAGTGCGTTACGCAATATTATGATGACCCCTCCTTTTGTCTACAGTACGAGTCACATCTTACAACCTGATATGTTGGAACTGTATTTCATAGTCGTATATTTCCTCTGTCGCGCAAGTTTCGGAACATAGAACTATATCCGGACCAACAATTTCAATTAGCCTTTCAAGTTACATTTTATTAGCTATTATCAGTGTTGCCAGAACTTTTTGGATGAACCGGCTAAATTGGCAAATAAAACCGGCTAAAAGCGGCTAAAATGTTTCAACTAAATTTCACATGTTTTATTTAAATAAATCACGAGTAAAAAGACCATTTCTTGGAGAGAAGGTACAAATTCGAGCCGGAAAAAATTTTGCCAGCAAGAATTTGCAATTAGGAAAAAGATATGATTGTGGCACATGGTTGGATTTTTTGTCGACGATAATTTGAATAAACAAGTTCGTTAAATTTAAAAATTTTTTTTTACTGGGGCGATTTTAAAATGAAAAATGTAAGTTAATACTTGTTTACTTAATTAATTTAGTTAATTCCAATGATTTGAAAGGTACTCGAAAAAAAACTATTTATTACTATTACTATCTGATATTTTGAGTGATAATTATCGCTGGATTTTCGACGAACAAACCTTTTGTCTTCCCTACAAGGCCCGATTCTCAATACACTCAAATAGAAACCAATACACATAAAAAACGCTGTAAAAATTTCCCTTCAATTTTAAGGCAGTAAAACAACGACCTTAAGTTAACATCAACCGAGGCCATATGTTGACAAGGGATGCAAAATCAGAGTTACATAAAAGAACTGGTCAGATTTTTCAGAAATCCCTTCAATTTTGATGTAAAATACGATGCTAAAAGACAGCTGTAGTGCGATTCCGTAACTCTTAACGATGCATTTGTCGAGTTGTTAATTAAAGATTTTTGTCGTTGGCATAAACGATTATTCGATTCACTAACTCATCCCTAACTACACTGAACAGCTGACTTTTTCCATTTATTCAAATTGATAAAAAGTGGCATCTCCGCTGTTCGAAATGTCAAAATGTGCGAAAAGCACAAAGAGGAACAGAAAAAAAACAATCCCATTTCTTCGCGCCACTAATTTGCGTCCATATATTGCAGCAAAGGTAACTATATTTTGCTATTTATTTAATTAATATGTATAAGAACTTACTTTCTTCTTATTTATAATTTCAGAATGGCGTCTACCAGTGGAGCAGCAGCTAAAAGGAGTCGAGCATCAGCGGAGCAGCTCAACGCTATGATCGACCTTCTGACGGAGAACGAAGGGCTTGCGTCCGGAAAGTTCCAGAGTCTCCACGGAAAGCTGGAGTACCAGAAGAAGTGGGCAGAAATGGCGCAAAAGCTCAACGCAATGGGAGGAGCTGTGAAGTCAGTGGAACAATGGCATACCGTAAGTACTTATCTTGTGTTTTAAGTGTGTGTACATAGGAAGCTGATTTCGAAAGTGCGATAAAAAAAAACTATTAGTATGTATGTACATACGTGAAGTGCACTTGGGTTGAAGGGAGGAGGGGGGACTTTTCATAAAGTGCGGTCCACGCCAACTCCCCCTCCGATCCCCACCCCAAAATCGTTGTACAAATAACTAAACATTTCCCCCGGGGCTTTTGTTTAATTTTGTTTGAGCTTCCTGTGTAAATTTATTTGTACTTTTATTTCCTTGGTCATTCATGAATAAGCTGTAAGGCTTTATATACTACATATTTGTTATCTATGTATTTCATTATTTTGCAAACAGGTCTGGCGCGATTTAAAAAGCCGTATAAGCGTACGCGTACGTGACCGGAAGAGGCAGCAGGCTCTAACAGGCAACAGGCCGATCGACCAGCCGCCTTTAACGGATATGGAGAGGCGCGTAATTCCTCTGATTGGGAGCAACTACATCGAGGGTCACGAAGCGGTGCCCGATAATGTGCCATTGGAAGAGGTGAGCTTATAGTTATACAATTATTTCTTTTATTATTTACTAATTTTTTATTTTACTTTTGAACTATAAGGAGCTGCAATTGGCCATGGAGGATGGGGAGGAAATTCTCTTCCATGCAGTGACGTCGGCATCAGAGTTTGGTGCCGACAGCGAGGTGCAGGCCAGAACAGCTAAAAGTTCTGCGCAGACACCGCGTAGGGGTTTGAAGAGGAAGCGGACGGAAGAAGAGAGCGATGCCCAGAAAAAATTTCTGGAAATCGCTGAAAAGCAAGCCGACGTCTTGAAGGTGAGAAATAATTACACAAGTTTACAGAAATAAAAGTTCTCTGAAGTTATTGCAATTTTTTTGGGATATTTCCAAACCGAAATCTCTTTTAAATTTAGTAAAGCCCATAATTTTGCGATTGTTTTTAATATTTTCCAAATTTAAAAGACATTTCAGATTGACTATATCCCAAGAAAATTGCAATAACTTCAGAGAACTTTTATCAGATCTCAAAAAACCGAAATTTGGCTATATCTCAAAAACTTTATACTTTCTTATATCTTGCCTTCATATTCGGGTTCAGCGGAAAATTTTACATATGTATGTGTAAAATTATGGTCCAATACCACAGGTCGGATTTCTTGTCGACTAGTATAGTATTATTACATTTTACATAAATCGTGTTAATATATAGTTTTTTTCAATAGATGGTGGCTGAAAATAGTACGAGGCAGACAGATGTCTTGAAGGTGAGAAGTAAATATTATTAAATATGTTTTATATAAATCGTGTTAATATACATATACTTTTTATCAATAGGTGATGGCCGAAAACAATGCAAGGCAGACGGAGGCGACGCTTGCGATGGCTCAGGCTATGACCGTCGTTGGAGAAGGGATGAAAGCCTGTGCCGAGGCTTTTCATCGACTCTCGGCTACTCTCGGCAATCAGTAAATAGTAGTATTTTAAGTATTAAGAAATGTAAATAGTAGTTTTAAGAGTTAAGTTTATAGTTTTTCTTTTCATTTTCAAAATGAATTAGTTATTTGTTCCTTTAATGTTTTAAATGAATTAATTATTTTGTACCTGATTGAAGTATGTACCTTAAGTTTTAAAAATATACAGGCTTGGCCAAAAGTATTAGGCACAACAATGTAGCACGATTTTTAAAATTTTTCTTTTGTTTTTTTAATGTTTATTATTGTTTTATAAAAGCCTGGCCCACTATCCAACAAAAAACACATAAATCTAAATACCAAACTTTGTGCAAAAAATATAAAAACTCTACAAACTTTCAGCAAAATTTCCAACTTTTTATTCAGAATCTTTGGAAAAAATTAGGTATGCAGTTTTGTAGCCCATTAAATTCTAGTATACATAGTAGTATTTAGTAGTTACTAAAAAATCCCGTTAATTTTTGATAATTTTTTATGGTTGACGGTGTCATGCATAAAAAGTATGTTCGAATTTTTTTTTAAATGTAAGAAAATGCTCATCACCGTCAACCATAAAAAATCATCAAAAATTAACGGGATTTTTAGTAACTACTAAATACTACTATGTAGGCCAGGCTTTTATAAAAAAAATAATAAACATTAAATAAACAAAAGAAAAATTTAAAAAATTGTGTTATATTGGGGTGCCTAATACTTTGTATATTTTATAAAATTAATTCGAATTATATGTTTGTGATGATTATGACATAGTATTTAAGATATATAAATTTATGTACCTTAATTTCACATGCGCCTTTTAAATTAAAATCTTGAACGTTTCGTTGATTTAATACTTTTTTGTATTCATTTATTTTCTAAAAGTCGAATTCTTAACTGAATTAATATTAATCTTAAGATGAAGAGAACTAATAAAAATCAGGGGTCGAATCGTAACAGTCGTGAACGAGCAACTCATCACGTAATGTGACTTATACAATTGTATTAAGTAGACTTATACAATTGTGTTAAGTGATATTTTAAGAAAATTTTTCAATTTGCCCAACTTTTCAAATCGATCTTATTTTATGTGACTAACAGAGTTGTCAAACTATCGATGGCACTATCGATAGTATCGATAGTTTCAATTTTTTTAGACTATCAATACTCATTGATAATTTTTTCTTATACTATCAAAAATATCGATAGTTTAGTAGGACTATCGAACTATTGTTGGTAATACCTGAATTTTTTAATTTGAATTAAAAATTTTGTTTTTTAGTGTGATGCCGACGTCATATTCAAATATGCACGCATTTAGCCCAAAATACATACATATGTTAATCGTAAATCCTGTTTTGTTTGTATAACTTGTGTTTGTTTTTGAATTTCTAAAAAGAGAAGTATTTTGGCTTAGCAGTTACTTAATTTTGAATGATTATAACTTTTATAAGATAATATTTATTTCACTATGACCTGTAAAACAAAGCAACCTAACTGATTTAGCGCTATCGATAGCGCTATCGATAGTTTTGTTTTTTTCGAGACTATCGTGAATATTGATAGTTTTTCTGAAAACTATCAAAACTATCGATGGTGTGACTATCGATAGTTTGACACCTCTAGTGACTAAGGCCGTATGCATCTACATATAAATGAACTTGACATCATTAATATAGTATAATTCAAATTTACATAATCACTATAAACAGTATAAAACAAAAATTTAAATATGCCTTCAAGCTTTTGAAATTTTATATAACTTTCTAATCTGTAAAGCACTATTTAATTTTTTAGCAAATAACGGTAGGTGGACAATCAATAACGACCGAAGACAAAATACTGTATATAAAAAAATTTAGCCAGTTGAAACTTTTTTATTAATTTGTTATAAAAATTGTGTTTTTGCCATAACCAATTCCAGAATTAATTACCAAAAAAGTTTTAACTTCCTAATTTTTTTAAATACAGTATTTTGTCTTCGGTCGTTATTGATTGTCCACCTACTGTTATTTGCTAAAAAATTAAATAGGTTCGAAGTGCTTTATAGATTAGAAAGTTATATAAAATTTCAAAAGCCTTCAAACATATTTTAATTTTTGTTTTATACTGTTAATAGTGTATACAGTAACTCACACAAATATTGGTAATTTAGTTTTTCAAAATATTCAAAATGTTTTAGAAATATATCTTGCAAACTTTGTACAATATTCAAAAAATTAGTCAAACTTTAAAAAATTTTCATCAAAATTTCAAACTTTTCATTCAGAATTTTTACAAAATTTTGGAGTACGCAGTTTTGTAGCCCATTCAATTACGCATTTTCTTCCATATAAAAATAGATTTTATTTATTCGTTATATGGAAGAAAATGCGCCACACCCTCGACAAAAAAATTCTAAAAAATCAACGGTATTTTGTAACGACTTCAAACTTGCACTTTGTTGTACTAAAATTGAATGGGCTACAAAACTGAGTACTCCAAAATTTTATAAAAATTCTGAATGAAAAGTTTGAAGTTTTGATGACAATTTTTTAAAGTTTGATTATTTTTTGTGAATATTGTACAAAGTTTGCAAGATATATTTCTAACGTCTTTGTTATAGAATAACCTATATTTAAAAAAAAATTTGAGAAAATGGTTTCTGATTGAAAACATTCTGAAAAACTAAATTACGAATACTGTATGTAAATTTAGAAGAAAAAAATTAAGTGGTTAGGAGACAAAATCAGTGCATAGATAAACATCTAAATTTAAAATAAAATAAATCAAGTATTTAAGAGAAGAAGTTAGTAATTAATCGGTCTTGGACACGTTTTGCAACGGAAGATACTGAATTTGAATTTTCGTCGGTACCGTCTGCATGTGCATGTGTTTCTATTATTATATTATTGTTGTCAAGTTCATTTATTTGCTCGCCCAAACGGATGTTATGCAAGGTTGAGCACGCGTTCACAACCTTACCAGCAAAACCAGGATCGTATAATAACACCCTTTGTTGCGATAAACATCGCCACGTTCCTTTAAGTACACCAAATAGTCTCTCCACTGGATTTCGGGCTTTGCATAGCGCCTCGTTGTACTGAAATTTAGGAGTACCCTCAGGTTGGTTCGGTAAAGGCGTCATGAGCCATGGCTCTAAGGGGTATCCAGAATCGCCTAAAAGCAACTTATTTTTTAATTATGTACATTTTAAAGTAAATTAAAAAGAATACCAATCAAAAGCATGTTGCGGCTTCCATTGTCAAAAGCTCTCTGCATGACTCGCCGCACTGGACAGGAACTCCAAATATATGAGTCATGCCGTGCACCCGGAAACTTAGCATTCACGTTCAATATTTTTAAATTTGGGTCACATATCTGTAAAAATATAACAAACATTTAGCGCTAGACTTTTATTTAAAATACTTAGCTTACCATTTGCACATTAATCGATTGGTATCCGTGATGGTTCACGTATGCTTCCTCATGACTTTTAGAAGCCAAAATGGAAACATGCGTACAGTCAACCGCCCCAATAGTTCCTCCAACGAAAGGCGCAGGTGCTAAAGAAAACACTTCCTTGGCAGCTTGGCGGTCCACCTGCGTCATAGGGAACTTAACCTCCTCAAAAAACAGTCTGCTATTTATGGCATCAGTAACTCGATGTAGGCAACGGCTTATAGAGGATGGGCTCATTGATATGCCCCACTGTACCCCTACAGGCCGTTGGTAGCATCCCGTGGCATAAAATCGTAAGGTACACAAAACCTTCAAAGATAAATTTTTAGTTATTTGTACAATGATTTTGTGGTGTGGAGCAGAGGGGGAGGGGGTGTGGCACCTAAAACCATACCCATTAGAAAGAATGTAGTCAAAACTTTAAGAGAAGTCATGCTTTCCCTCTCTGACCCCTCTAGGGACTCCCGGGGGCCCATTTGAAAATGGATTTACCCCATTAGCATTTCGACATAGAACCCACACCGAAATTTACCAAAGAGTGCATATTTCAAACCGAATTTATTAATAAAATAGAGCTTGTATATTTGAAATCTTTTTTTTAAATTAAAGTTTAATCCTTGGAGTACACGCGCATGTTAAACTCTTTAGATTCGAGTGACGCGTTTGGCATTACAACCCAAAATCATTGTACAAATAACTAAACCCTACGCGAGAAGTTATTGTATGTACATACATATGTACTACATATGTAAAATTTCATACTTTCATTATTTAAAGATTTACCTGATTTTCCGCCGATATAGAGGTAATCCTTTTACCTTTCAAGGCGTCTTCCAGCCGTTCGACGAGCTCCATTACGGTATCTGGGCCCACACGATATAGTTTCCGGAACTCGGAAGGCGCCAGCTCAAATGGATCGTCAATGTCCCGGAGCAAACGCCGATCCACTGTGGGGGTATTTGCAATCCCATGGTTTCGGTACAAACTAAACGCCACATATTCAAATGCCATTTCTTTTATTTTCACTTTTTGTATTTGCGTGTATGTAAATTTGTTTGGTTAACGCAAACTTAACAACACCAAATGAAATGTCGATAACTTAGCCACGGTCGAATCGTTAACGAAACAGGTGATTTTGACTTAGCGAATATCGATAAGAAAGTACTTATTGAATAGCAAAATCTTTAAAATTATCGTTTAGTTAAATTAGCCACTGCGAATGTCGTTAAAAAAGTTACCGAATCGCACTACAGATCGCCCATTTAGATGACCGGTCATATGGCCGGAATATGTCTCGTAGGATTCCCAGCGAGTTTTGCTTTACATAAAAATGTTTGCTCTTTTATTTTAATTTTGACTCACTTCAGTGTTGGTTCCTTTATACCATGTTCTGACCGACAACGAAAACACCTCGAAAACGAGTTTTGGGATTGTGGGCTGAAGGCTGTTCACACCGACTGTTGGTGTTTTCGTTGACATTTCTTACATCCTTTGTTTACAGTTTTGCTACACAAATGCAAAACCAAAATACTTTTCCTTCAATTTCTTTTCATTAACAACCTTTTACTTCCATGCTTATTTTATTTTGGTCAGCCAATTAACAATAAATCCGAAATGGCGTATTAAACATGATAAAATATGACTGCCACTTTGATAAATAATCGAAAAAAACTAGTGCAGACACCGATTGGAATGAGTGGAACGTGAGTTTTCAAGTAGTTTTCAGCGAAAACTTGTTTTCGTTTGACAGATTTTACATGGACGAAAACACAAGTTTTAGGTCAGAACATGGTATTAATTCAAGTTGGCTTTCGGTTTTTGGAATTTAAATAAGTTCTCAGCAAAAACGTTTGTTTAAAAAAATACATATGTGTACACAGTGCTTGAAAATATCAATTTTTCCATTACCTTAAACCTTTGGGAGTGAGCAAAAATTATGTTTTTTTTTTAATTTAGGCAGAATTGAATATGCGCTATCTGGGAAGACAATATCTACATGTAATATTTATTCTGTTTGTTTGCACTATATCCAAACACAAACGCATCTTAAGAGTCTTAACAGTGAAACAATTTCTTATTTTATAAGTTTGCGAATAAAACTTCACACCTAAAATTAAGACATTTATAACAAACATTTTATGAAGAAAATCCCATCTTCGTTTAAAATAAAAATAAGCGAAATCGGCCCAATTTCATACAATCCTGCCTGGCATGAAAATTTTCTCCACGATAAGGCTAGTAGCCATTTCTAACAGATTTTGGGTCCCTTAGTCAAGAATGGAAATATATATTGGTATTTGAATTTTAAGAAAACAAGGCAATGGCAAAATCGGCTAAAAACGGCTAATTTTTTTCTGCAAAACGGCTAACAAATCGGTTGCCGGCTAAATCGTAATTTCTCCGGCTGTTTGCTATCGCAACCGGCTAAATCTAGGCGGAAAACGGCTAAAATGGCAACACTGGCTATTATACTACTTACAGGGTTGCCACTTTGGTAAATTGTTACCAAAATTGGTAGAAAAAATTTGGGTTGGTAAAAAGGTAAATTTTTTCTCATTTTGGTAGATATTTGTGGAACTCTTCGTTACCGATTTATTTTTCGTAGTTATCTTTATATTATAAATTTCTTTGCATACTTTTTATATACTTACATACGTATAAATGTATATCGATATAAGGCGAACATATCGTGCTCCATTCAAAACTCATTTTACTGGAATCCCGGGGAGCATTTGATTGCCTAAATATTTTAAATGATTATTTAAATACAAATAAAAAAAATTTACAGGTATGTAATGACGCACTATACTTGTTCGCAAAAAAAAATTAATCAACGTCATTTTTTATCAATAGAAATTGTTAAATAACAAACACAAAAGACTGGTGGCAAAAAATTAAAAAAAAAATCAACGGGAACCACAGTGTGAGCTATACTCAAGTATTATTTGCTTTAAAACTCGGTATCTTAAATTGTTCTAAAAATTCAGAGTAAAAAATTCGATTTTTGAACGAAAATTTTTTGAATTTTTCTAAATGTTGTATATAGTTTGAATCCTTAATTTTTATGAATTTAGTTAAAACAACAAAAAAATTTTACTTGAAAAACATTGCGAATAATAAAAAAATCACCAGGTGCTTTTTTGGTCACTATATTTGTCAGCCTTGAAATCCAACGGAGAATCACTCTTGCCAAAAAGTGCTACGTTGGGCTGAGTAGGCAATTGAGAAGTAAAGTACTCTCTCGTCGTACAAAGTTCACACTCTATAAGTACTCATCATGCCTGTGCTGGTGTATGGCGCGGAGGCATGGACAATGAAAGCATCTGATGAGGCGGCTCTTGGAGTTTTCTAGAGAAAGATTCTGCGAAAGATTTACGGACCTTTACGCGTTGGTGATGACGAATATCGCAGACGATTTAACGATGAGCTGTATGAGCTTTACAACGATATAGACATAGTGCAGCGAATTAAAATTCAGCGGCTCCGCTGGCTTGGCTATGTCGTTGGAATGGACAGAAACGCTCCTGCTCTGAAAATGTTCAACGCGGGCCGCGATGCTGATAAAAGAGGAAGAGGAAGGCCTCCTCTGCGTTGGAAAGACCAGGTGGAGAAGGACTTGGCTTCACTTGGCATTTCCAATTGGCGTCAGTTAGCACAGAAGAGAAATGACTGGCGTGCTGTTTTGGACTCGGCCAAAATCGCTTAGGCGGTTACAGCGCCAATAAAGAAGAAGTATTTGTCTATAATAACTCGAGTTGAAGTTTTTCAAATTATGAAGTTTCGTTGTTGCCTTTAGTTTCATCACTTCCGCTTTGAAAGAAACTGCGAATATGCTAATAATATGACTCAAATACCGTATAATTAGCTAAATAAAAATTTCCTTAAAAACAACTTTCTTATTGAAATAACTAAAAATATAACAAAACTTTAGTTTTAATTGAAAAAAAGAAAAAAATAAAGCTATTATAGTTTTTATTAAAATAACTATAAAAAAATTTATTGGTAGATATTTTTTAGATTTGGTAGATTTTTCTCAAGTGGATGGTAAATATTTTTTTTCCTCAGTGGCAACCCTGACTACTTATGTTAAGATAAACGCATTTCAAAGTAACTGTAATGCCTTTCATGTACTAGGTGAACCGTCAACTCCACGCCAGGGTTCCTATTAACTGACAGTAATTGTTAATAGATGGCTATATTTCTTAGAGCTGGAAAACTATCGATAGTCGTAGCCATCGATAGTCGATAGTCACAACGATCGATAGTATCGATACTATCGAAAATGTCGATACTATCCACGGTACTATCGATAGTTTTGATTAAAAACGTACAAAAATTAAACATAAACAATGTGAGTTGGTTTGTCATTTAATTTAATTTGTTGTTATGTATGTATACATATTTGTTTTTCGGTTAGAACTTAAAGTGTGTGTTTTTTTTGTATTACAGATACAGATTGTTGTTACAGATAAAATAAACACTACTCCTGAGGATGCTAAAAAAGTTTCAGCGAAACGTCGTGTAAAAAGTGGAATAAAGTAGTTTTATTCGCACCCAAACTCAAAAGATAAGACTAGCCTACAAACATAAAATAACATAACAAGTTTTACTGAAAATGAGATCAGAATTGCTAAAATATGTCTATATTTCTGTTAAGGAACAAAAGTTTATCAACGATTTTTAGCTTCAAGCATCATCTGCGCTCTGAATTTATTTGTCCTGCTTTGATAAATGGCCTTTCCGACATCAAAAGATAAACTAGGTACCGCCGGCTTTTACTCTTATGCTGCGGTTTTGCTGCATTTAAAATGAAACATTTAGCACTTTCGAACATATTTTTTCGAAGAGCGTTCATGCTATCGCATTTAGCAAATGTACATTTACGCGAGTTCGAAATCGTATGCTTTTGACAAACAGCCGTATTCCAATCGCTTATTCAGATCCGTATCTAATACGATCAATTCTCACGCAGAAGATAAATGAAATCTCGATCGGCGATCACTGAAACGCAGCTAGCCACTGTATACGCGAAAAAGCAATGTTGCCACTTTTTCTCATTAAACCAAAGAACGTAGATAACAAGAAGGGACAACTCGTTATAATTGTAGCGAAAGTGCGCAACAGGGGCATGCCTTCTCTTTTCATCCAATCAAAAAACGCACTAGGGCAAAAGAGAAGGCACGCCCCTGTTGCACACTTTCGCTACAAGTATAACGAGTTGTCCCTTGTTATCTACGTTCTTTGATTAAACCATGTTCGAATCGTGGAAATTTTGGAAGATCACAGGGTTGCTTTTAGCATTTAGATTCTTAATGCAAAAATGGAGTAGCATTTAGGTGACGAATTTTGTATGGATAAATGCACATTTAGAGTAGCATTTAGAGGTAAGCGTAAGCAAAAACAGCCCATTACAGAATAATATATGTATGAGTGAAAACTATCGATAGTGCTTACAAAACCATCGATGTTTTCGATAGTCAAAAACCATAGATACTATCGATAGTGCCATCGATAGTTTTCCAGCTTCATGTATACAGGACACTTAGTACGTTTATACGCACGTATTATTTGCAAATATCAATTTGTAAAATGGTAAAATTTTCCGTATAAACGATGAGTTAATTTTTTATTTGCAAATAACTAAATCACGCAAATAAGTATTGATTAGTGGTACTATTTGCAAATAAGCGCAAGACGCCGCCATTCTTAGGTCATCTTATTGCCTTTTTATAATCAAGACGTTGCCATTTTTAACTTAACTAGTATCGCCCAGTTGTCGAAATTCGACATTTTTTCATACACTTTTAAATTTTGCTTATCACCAATGTTGACTCCTTTATGCTAATGACGATTTTGAAGTCCACCACCAAAATTTATAGCGTATTTATAGGAAAACTTAAAACCAAATTTCTTAGTAGCTTTCGAAATTATACCGAGAAAGGAACCTCAATTTTCATTAACAAATAAAATTATAGTTTAAAAAACTAAAACCTCCCTATTATAATTGCCATTCGTACTGTCATCAGGTGAGTAACTTGAGAATATAAATCGCTGCATCTTTTAGGCGCTTCATATTACATAGTTACATCCCGAGCTAATAAAAGGAAGGTAATAAAAATATGCATATGTAGGTAAAGCATCGTTCACTCAAAATCGGTACGCATGAAATGGCTTATATCTTTTTAATAGGATTTCAAAAAATAATATTTAATATGTTAGAGTAAAGAGAAAACATTCCGTTATGGATACATGTTAGCGAGAGTTTCATATTTTGCTTGGATAAGTAACTAAATAACAATTTCTTTGAT